TATATATATATATATATATAGATAGATATATAGATACACACACATTACCCTGGAGCACAAAAACAGTGTTAAGTCGCTGGGGGATATTTGTAGCAACAGCCAACAATATATTGTATGGGTCAAAATTATTGATTTTTCTTTTATGCCAAAAATCATTAGGATATTAAGTAAAGATCATGTTCCATGAAGATATTTTGTGAATTTCCTACCGTAAATATATCAAAACTTAATGTTTGATTAGTAATATGCATTGCTAAGAACTTCATTTGAACAACTTTAAAGATGATTTTCTCAATATTTAGATTTTTTTGCACCCTCAGATTCCAGATTTTCAGATATTGTCCGATCCTAACAAACCATACATCAATGGAAAGCTCATTTATTCAGCTTTCAGACGATTAATAAATCTCAATTTTGAAAAATGGACCAGGGTCACACATATACACACACACACACTTAAAATAAATATATATTTAGATATATTTAAATAAATAAATAAATAAATAAATATATATATTAATTTTAAATATATAAATTGGGAAATCAGTAACTTTTAAAAATAAAGAACGTATACTTTTTCTCAGTAAGGATGCATTAAATTGACATTTTTTAATTTTACAAAACATTTCTATTTTAAATAAAGGTAATATTGGGCAGCACAACTGTTTTCAACATTGATAATAATCAGAAATGTTTCTTGAGCAGCAGATCAGCATATTATACTGATTTCTGAAGATCATGTGACACTGAAGACTGGAGTAATGATGCTGAAAATACAGCTGCGCATCACAGAAATACATTACAGTTTAACAGATATTCACACAGAAAACAGCTGTTTTAAATTGCAATAATATTTCACATTTTTACTGTATTTTTTAACAAATAAATGCAGCCTTGGTGAGACTGCTTTTCAAAACATTAAAAAAATAATAACAAGCCCAAAGTTTTGAACAGTGGCGAATTTGAATTTCACTCCAGTATCTCAAAAATGTACATAATTTTCTGAAAGTGTTCAAATTTTGAGCCAATACTATGAGACACAAGGCCATTTATGAATCAGACCCCACAGCAGTTTTACATCTAATGTTTCTCACCTCTACGATGCTGCGCAGATCCCTGACATACATCCGCTCCGTCTCGATAATCTCCATGACCACACGATCCACGTATGTGAGCTGAGGGTTTGGCGCCATTGTGGCGGTTGCGAACGGCGACGGAGGGTCTGGTGTCGAGACCGACGGTTCTTCAACCGGCCAGTCCAAGCCGAGCAGCTCTGGAGGACCTGAGGGAGCCTCCGGAGGACCGAGCTCCAGGCCGTCCTCTGAAGGCTCAGTGCTGGACAGAGAGCAGCAGTCTGCGGCCCGTGGATCCGGACTCCCCACAGATGAACCGGTAGACAGACGATGACATTCTGCTGGAGACAAACACAACACGATTGTACCGTGCTGACAGCATTGTTTTTCATCTTGGGGTGAATTATCATGATGTTAATGAAGTATTTATTCAATTAATTTAAAATGTACTAGTGCTGGTCGGTAGGCCTGGACGATTTGGCAAAACAATTTAAATCTCGATTTTTTTCTACGATTTTTAACTAGTCAACTTGAAAATGTAACTACAACATGATTCAAGCAACTTTTTCTTTATTAACCCTCTAGTTAAAGAAAATTCTCTTCCAAGTGCATGTCCTCAACATGATGTAAATGTTAAACAAATCACTTAAGTATCTTTGCAAAAAACTATACATATTGTACAAACTTGTCTTATACATATTATGTGTTCAGAAATAATACGAGGAAAATGCTTTAAAAAAAAAAAGGTAATTCAAATTCAAAAGTTATTACTGAAGGTATTACATACAGTAAGTAGGCTATTATTAACTATAAATGTTCTGTAAAAACAACAGCAGCTTTCAGCCGGTCACCATGATGCAAACATGAAATATCAGACATACGGTATTTTAAACGTGACTCATTTTTAACGATTTCTCATCAAACAAGACTTAATATCTTGATTCAAAAGGAAAACATTTAGTTGAGATGCAAAATAACAGAAGATATTAAGTCTTGTTTGATGAGAAATCGTTAAAAATGGGGCGAGTTGATGCTTAAAACAAGAAAAATATCTGCTAATAAATTAATTTATTAAATTTATAAATTTAGTACAATAGTAAAATTTATATAATTTAGTCAAATAAATTACTTCTGAATCAAGTAAAACATTTTTTTTACTCCATTGGCACATATTTCTTGTTTAAAGCATAAACTCACTTCACGTTGATAATTTTTTCAGAAAGCAAAACTTAAATGGATCTTAATTTAAGAATGTTTAGATATTTTGTACTGGGGGGAAAAAAAATACAGGAGGAAGAACAGCTTTTTTGCAGTGTCGAATCTTTTTGATTGATTCACTAAATGATTTGTTCATAAGAGTCATTTGTTCATGAGTCAGGACTTCTCGAGTTAACCGTTTGAATCAGTCAGGTGACTCATTCAATGAACCGTTTAGAGAGTTTCTTAACATATTAATAAACCTTCTAAAAGGATCACTAATAGAAACTGAACCAGAAAGAGAATGGTTAAAGCATCAGTATTGAAAT